ATTTGTACAACCAATGCAACCCAATAAATTGAGATATTTATGGAAATGATGATAGTTCATTTATTATGATCTGAATATTTATGAAAGATCAATATGGTTCATTAATTATGATCAATACTTTATATTAGAAAATAATCAAAACTTCTATAAAATCACATATTAATCAAATGAAATGAACGATTGAGATTAGGTTGTATTGGTTGCACAAATGTCAAGGGTTGTATAATAACCAACCTCTCTCTCTCTCTCTCTATATATATATATATATATATATATACACACACACACACACACACACACTTGAGATCATGTGAGACCAAAAGTTTTTCGTGAGACCCGTAAGACCAATTTATGTTCATTAATCAACTTTATAAGCTAATGATCTAATGGTCTGAAGTTGCACTGTGACAATTTTTTTATTATTGAGAAGTCTTGTGGCAATTTTGTGATTATTAATGTTCATATTGTAAATCTAATCCAGGGTTGAGAATTGGTCTTATGGGTCTTACGAAAAACTCTTGGTCTCACATGATACCAAGTCTATATACATAATGGTCGAAACATATATCTTGTTTAACTATTTTTATTTTTTTCTCATAATGTATACAATATATAAAAATATATAATTAATGGGGTACATTAATTAATTAATGAAATTTTGCACATTTTGTACTCATCAAATATTCCATGCTATGAATTTTTGACCATATTACATAATGACAGAAGATAATGAATAAACATTATCTAACTAAGATACCATTTTAGATTATGTATGCTCATCAATAAATATATACATTAACATAGTAAATGTATATTAACGAATTTCATATGGTGTATATTCGTTAATGAATATATTTTATATGAAATTCATATGCATTGTATGTTCATCAATGAATAATACATTATATTCACAAGTTTTTTATCCCACATATTTCAATATTCTTCCTCTTTAGATCAGTTATTTTCCTTAATCTTTTTGGTAGATCAAACTTCAATATGCATGTACTACACATGCGTATACAATTTCTACCCTATCATCCCTCTATGTAGCAACCCAACCACATGGTGAAAAGGCTTATACGAATTAAGAGAAAATAGATCTACATATTAATGAAATTACAACAAAGATGAAATATATGGTAAGCATATGCTTAACAGTTAATACAAATATACTTCAGTAATATACGATTCACAAAAAAATGATCTTCTTTTTCCACTCATTTGTGCGACTTCCATGTTTCTCTTAAGACAATGCGACTTCTCAATGCCCAACATTCTGACTCCTACAACATAACTACTTTGACGATCATCTTTCTGAATTCACCGATTAGTCTTAACGATATCTTCTTATGACACATAACTCCTATGACTACCCTCCACTTTGTAACC